CCCATAGTATACACCGACAGACCCCCATAGTATATACCGACAGACCCCCATAGTATATACCGACAGACCCCCATAGTATATACCGACAGACCCCCATAGTATACACCGACAGACCCCCATAGTGTACACCGACAGACCCCCATAGTGTACACCGACAGACCCCCATAGTGTACACCGACAGACCCCCATAGTATATACAGACAGACCCCCATAGTATACACCGACAGACCCCCATAGTATATACAGACAGACCCCCATAGCATATACCGACAGACCCCCATAGTATATACAGACAGACCCCCATAGTATATATACAGACAGACCCCCATAGCATATACCGACAGACCCCCATAGTATATACAGACAGACCCCCATAGTATATACCGACAGACCCCCATAGTATATACAGACAGACCCCCATAGTATACACCGACAGACCCCCATAGTATACACCGACAGACCCCCATAGAGTACACCGACAGACCCCCATAGTATATACCGACAGACCCCCATAGTATACACCGACAGACCCCCATAGTGTACACTGACAGACCCCCATAGTATATACAGACAGACCTCCATAGTATACACCGACAGACCCCCATAGTATATACAGACAGACCCCCCATAGTATACACCGACAAACCCCCATAGTATATACCGACAGACCCCCATAGTATATATACAGACAGACCCCCATAGTATATACCGACAGACCCCCATAGTATATGTATTTTATCTATACCTTGGTACCACTGGAAGCGCTGGGATTCTGGGGGTGTCCTATGAATATGGGGGTCCTGCAGCGGTATGTGGATGGGTAGCGTTGGGATTCTGGGGGTGTCCTATGAATATGGGGGTCCTGTAGCGGTATGTGGATGGGTAGCGCTGGGATTCTGGGGGTGTCCTATGAATATGGGGGTCCTGTAGCGGTATGTGGATGGGTAGCGTTGGGATTCTGGGGGTGTCCTATGAATATGGGGGTCCTGTAGCGGTATGTGGATGGGTAGCGCTGGGATTCTGGGGGTGTCCTATGAATATGGGGGTCCTGTAGCGGTATGTGGATGGGTAGCGCTGGGATTCTGGGGGTGTCCTATGAATATGGGGGTCCTGTAGCGGTATGTGGATGGGTAGCGCTGGGATTCTGGGGGTGTCCTATGAATATGGGGGTCCTGTAGCGGTATGTGGATGGGTGGGTAGCGCTGGGATTCTGGGGGTGTCCTATGAATATGGGGGTCCTGTAGCGGTATGTGGACTCGTAGCGCTGGGATTCTGGGGGTGTCCTATGAATATGGGGGTCATGTAGATGTATGTGGATGGGTAGCATTGGGATTCTGGGGGTGTCCTATGAATATGGGGGTCACATTACAGATTTGGTATAAATACAGGTCTATCGTTAGAAAAATAAAATGTATAAAAATAAACAAATTCTATAAAACACGCGGACTGGATGGGCCTTTCCTGGCGCCGCTCTCCTGTGTCTCGGAGACCTTTAATCACTAGATGTGGCGGAGTACATGGCCCGGCTCCCAGGATGTGGCCCCTCCGACCCGCTGACTCAGCTTCCCTCTAATAGTCGGTCTGTCCTCTGGGATCCTGTAGATTACAATCAGCATTCACCGCAATCAGCACCGACTTCCTGTCATCAGAAACCCCCGAGGAGGAAACACAGCTTCATATTTACAAAGACAAATCCCTAGGATGGAATACAATGTCACAGAATACAATGTCACAGAATACAACGCAACAGAATACAATGTCACAGAATTCAATGTCACAGAATACAATGTCACAGAATACAACGCAACAGAATACAATGTCACAGAATACAACAGAATACAATGTCACAGAATACAACATCACAGAACACAATGTCACAGAATATAACAGAATACAATGTCACAGAATATAACAGAATACAATGTCACAGAATACAACGCAACAGAATACAATGTCAAAGAATATAACATCACAGAATACAACATCACAGAATACAATGTCACAGAATACAACGCAACAGAATACAATGTCAAAGAATATAACATCACAGAACACAATGTCACAGAATATAACAGAATACAATGTCACAGAATACAACGCAACAGAATACAACATCACAGAATACAATGTCACAGAATAAAATGCAACAGAATACAATGTAATAGAATACAACGTTACAGAATACAACGCAACAGAATACAATGTCACATGATACAATGTCACAGAATACAACACAACAGAATACAATGTAATTGAATACAACGTCACAGAATACAACACAACAGAATACAACGTCACAGAATACAACGTCACAGAATACAACACAACAGAATACAATGTCACATGATACAATGTCACAGAATACAATGCCACAGAATACAACATCACAAAATACAACGTCACAGAATACAACACAAACAGAATACAACATCACAGAATACAACACAATAGAATACAATGTCACAGAATACAATGTCACAGAATACAACACAACAGAATACAATGTCACATGATACAATGTCACAGAATACAATGCCACAGAATACAACATCACAAAATACAACGTCACAGAATACAACACAACAGAATACAACATCACAGAATACAACACAACAGAATACAATGTCACAGAATACAACATCACAGAATACAACATTACAGAATACAACACAACAGAATACAACATCACAGAATACAACACAATAGAATACAATGTCACAGAATACAATGTCACAGAATACAACGCAACAGAATACAAGGCCCCAGAATATGTCACAGAATACAATGTCAGAGAATTCAACATCACAGAATACAACACAATAGAATACAATGTCGCAGAATACAACACAAGTACAGTCTGATCACTGGCAGGGGGGAGACTGAGTCAATCCTTCCTCCTCCTTCTACAAACTTACAATGTACAGTCTGATCACTGGGGGAGGGGAGACTGAGGCAATCCTTCCTCCTGCCTGCAGCAGACTGATGACATCATCTCAGCCTAGGCACTGGACTGGAGCAGAAGGATTCCTTTTATTTATTGATTTTGGAAAATAGCCATCATACTAATAGGGAGGGGCAGTGGGGGTGGACCAGCTTTTGACACAGCCGGAAATTGGTGGTATTTCCATAATATTCTATTTTATATTTATTTATTATTGATGATTTATTAATTTTTATATAGTATATAAATAATTATATTAATATATCTATATAGTATCTGTCCCATGGTGGGGGGGAGTTTTGGGAGCGGTCAGCAATGGCGGGTCCATGTTTGTCCCATGGCGGGGGGAGGGTGGGAGTTTTGGGAGCGGTCAGCAATGGCGGGTCCATGTTTGTCCCATGGCGGGGGGTGGAGTTTTGGGAGTGGTCAGCAATGGCGGGTCCATGTTTGTCCCATGGTGGGGGGGAGTTTTGGGAGCGGTCAGCAATGGCGGGTCCATGTTTGTCCCATGGCGGGGGGGAGGGTGGGAGTTTTGGGAGCGGTCAGCAATGGCGGGTCCATGTTTGTCCCATGGCGGGGGGTGGAGTTTTGGGAGTGGTCAGCAATGGCGGGTCCATGTTTGTCCCATGGTGGGGGGGAGTTTTGGGAGCGGTCAGCAATGGCGGGTCCATGTTTGTCCCATGGCGGGGGGAGGGTGGGAGTTTTGGGAGCGGTCAGCAATGGCGGGTCCATGTTTGTCCCATGGCGGGGGGTGGAGTTTTGGGAGTGGTCAGCAATGGCGGGTCCATGTTTGTCCCATGGTGGGGGGGAGTTTTGGGAGCGGTCAGCAATGGCGGGTCCATGTTTGTCCCGGGGGCGGTCCATGATTTTGTCCCATGGTGGGGGGGGAGTTTTGGGAGCGGTCCATGGGCGGGGGGAGGGTGGGAGTTTTGGGAGCGGTCAGCAATGGCGGGTCCATGTTTGTCCCATGGCGGGGGGTGGAGTTTTGGGAGTGGTCAGCAATGGCGGGTCCATGTTTGTCCCATGGTGGGGGGGAGTTTTTGGGAGCGGTCAGCAATGGCGGGTCCATGTTTGTCCCATGGCGGGGGGGGGTGGGAGTTTTGGGAGCGGTCAGCAATGGCGGGTCCATGTTTGTCCCATGGCGGGGGGGGGAGTTTTGGGAGCGGTCAGCAATGGCGGGTCCATGTTTGTCCCATGGTGGGGGGGAGTTTTGGGAGCGGTCAGCAATGGCGGGTCCATGTTTGTCCCATGGCGGGGGGAGGGTGGGAGTTTTGGGAGCGGTCAGCAATGGCGGGTCCATGTTTGTCCCATTGTCCGGTCAGCATGGCGGGGGGGGGGGGGGAGTTTTGGGAGCGGTCAGCAATGGCGGGTCCATGTTTGTCCCATGGTGGGGGGGAGTTTTGGGAGCGGTCAGCAATGGCGGGTCCATGTTTGTCCCATGGCGGGGGAGGGTGGGAGTTTTGGGAGCGGTCAGCAATGGCGGGATCCATGTTTGTCCCATGGCGGGGGGGGGGGGGGAGTTTTGGGAGCGGTCAGCAATGGCGGGTCCATGTTTGTCCCATGGCGGGGGGAGGGTGGGAGTTTTGGGGGAGCGGTCAGCAATGGCGGGTCCATGTTTGTCCCATGGCGGGGGGAGGGGGGGAGTTTTGGGAGCGGTCAGCAATGGCGGAGTCCATGTTTGTCCCATGGCGGGGGGAGGGTGGGAGTTTTGGGAGCGGTAAGCAATGGCGAGGTCTATGTTTGTCCCATGGCGGGGGGGGGGGGAGTTTTGGGAGCGGTCAGCAATGGCGGGGTCCATGTTTGTCCCATGGCGGGGGGAGGGTGGGAGTTTTTGGGAGCGGTCAGCAATGGCGGGGTCCATGTTTGTCCAATGGTGGGGGGAGGGTGGGAGTTTTGGGAGCGGTCAGCAATGGCGGGGTGCATGTTTGTCCCATTGGCGGGGGGGGGAGTTTTGGGAGCGGTCAGCAATGGCGGGTTCCTCTGGATTTTCTGAATTTCCAACTGGCGGGTAGATGTAACTCTCGGTGTTTCTGTTTTCCAGACATAGAAATATCTTCTCATGATGGCTTCAGCTGCATCCCCGCCTCCCGCCGACCCCTCGGCCCCCAACATGGTCACCCAGGATTTCTGGAGGTCCCAGGTGTGTGGGTACACTTCATCGGTTAAGGGTCACATCAGCCATCGAGCCAACAATTTCAAAAGACATCCAAAGAGAAGAAAACTAATTCGTCCTTCACCTCCTCCGCCCCCCAACACCCCGTGCCCGCTCGATCTCATCGATTTCGTAGACCTTCACCTCGAAGGTCTTTCATGGAACTCTTGTTTAATGGCTGCATATTGTTCGGCATCGAGTTCTGTTATGCAATGGAGACGGCGTACGTCACCCCGGTGCTCCTTCAGATGGGTCTTCCAGATGAGTTCTATAGCATGGTGTGGTTTATCAGCCCCATCCTGGGTAATGTCCATTTCTGCATTGTGATTGGACCGGTAAATGTGTGAATGAAAGTGACCTGATCCCCGGATACACACATCTGCTGTTCGAATGCCCGGGGCTTGGGTGAAATCTCATCTCAGCTTGGAGTCACAGAAAGAAACTGAGGACGCAGATTCATTTCCTTTCCTTGCAGCCTCAGCTGCACTACAGATGAATGAACAGGAGACAGAGGATTCTGTTCATTCAGCAACTGAAGCATAATAAACACACTTTACTATGCTTCAGTTATGAATGGACACATCGGGACCGATCTCTCTCTGTGTCCATTCAGAAAAGGAAGGGGCCAGGAAATATTTACCAGCCCCTTCTATGCCTCTCCATCCTGACACAGCCGGGAGGGGGGGACACGGGGGGGCACAAAACTGGAATCAGAAGTGGGCAGGAGAGGGAGGGGGATTGGTGTGGTGGGGGGGAGCAATTACAGAAAGATGCCCTGGGTGCCTCTCCCTCCAGCAGTTGCTTCAGAGATCTGCACAGTGCATCCTTCTCTAATTGCTCCACTACACCGATCCCCCTGCCGTCCGGGCCCCCCTGTGTACCCAGGCCCCCTACAGGAGGACCAGTAGTACCTCCCTATCAGCGGCCCTGCATCCAAGTATTTACTTACTGTTCTTAACAAGCAGTCAATGAATGTTAAAATAAGTCCTCAATGACCCCTGTAGCTACAGGCACTGTGGAGTTTCACAGCAGAAGCACTGAAGTCCTTCAAGCCTTTCTCTCAGCAGCTCAGCTTCCCTCCTTCTAAGCAGTGACTTTGCAGCTCGGTTCTCCCTGCTCCCCCTCCAGCAGTGAATCCGCAGCTCGGTTCTCCCTGCTCCCCCTCCAGCAGTGAATCCGCAGTTCGTCTACTCTCCCTTTGACTACATAGGGCTCCCTGCCCCTCCCAGCCCTCCCCCAGTGACTCAGAGGCTCAGCTCCCCCTGCTTCCCCTCCCAGCAGTGACTCAGTGGCTCAGCTCCCCTTGCTCCCCCTCCCAGCAGTGACTCAGTGGCTCAGCTCCCCTTGCTCCCCCTCCCAGCAGTGACTCAGTGGCTCAGCTCTCCTGCTCCCCCCCCAGGATGACTCAAAGGCTCAGCTCCCCTGCTCCCCCTCCCAGCAGTGACTCAGTGGCTCAGCTCTCCCTGTGCCCCCCTCCCAGCAGTGACTCAGTGGTTCTCAGCCCCCCTGCTTCCCCCTCCCAGCAAGTGACACAGTGGCTCAGCTCCCCCCAGCAGTGATTGAATCGGTCAGTCTGGATCTAGCTCCTCTTCACCGACACCGTTTTATCTCCCTCGCCGTAATATATTAACCCCGCAACATGCTGCTAGCCGAATATTTCCCACCCTCGCGTTGTCTTTGTTTTGTCCCCTCCCTCAGAAAAAAATGCCGGGACACAGCAAGACTGAGACTTAGTCTTCCAACAGGCTGGTGCCGGAAGTAAACCTTAGCTATCCGCTCAGTCAAAAAATCCACTTTTCTTTCTACCGCCCCCAGGTGTTCCTCGGCTCGTGTCTTCCCCCTTTCCCTCGTCACCGCGCATCCCTTTTTTTTTTCACCGAATTCTCGTCCCACCTACAAAAGGCACATAAAGCCTGCTAATACGCACGATTACGTCTTAGCCCGTAACGGCCACGCAGCACTGCCATGGCAACCTGCATATACCTTTACACAAAGTTCAAACAAGATCCAGAGTCAGAGCAGTGCACCATCGCCAGAACACTTTAGCTCACCGCCGGCTACCACGTCTCTTCGAGTTTGAGTCAAAACTCACTGTATTCCGTTTGCCCACAATCACTTTATCACCACTCCCAGAACAAAGTCGGACAGACAGAGGCTCAGCTCCCGGCCTTGCTCCAAGCGCAGGTCCCAGCAGTGCACTCAGAGGCTTTAGCATTTTAAACGAGGACCAGCACGAGAAGAGGGCCACTCCTGCTCAAAAAAACCCCTCCACAAAACAGAACAACAATAACATGACATACTCCAACTCCGGGCACCCCTGTCGGCGCCCGGGATACGTAACCACTCGGCACCGCCCCCTCGACCTGCAATGCCCCCCCGGGCCAACAGCAACCGCCTCCCCAAAAAAGAAACCCAAAAGCAAACCGTTCAATCAGAGGCCGGCAGCTCTACCCTGTTTTCAACTCTCCAAGGTAGTGACTCAAAGAGACACAGCCCTCAACAAATCATACACGCCTCCGCAGTGACTCAGAGGCACAAACGCAACTCGGGAAGGCGAAACCTTTTTCATTTGATACACTTTTCGGAAACCCAAGCAACTCCCTTAACACAGTCAAAAACGTTTACCAAAAGGCATCCGCTTGCTCTTTTTCGATCAGTACCCACTCTCCAGCATCTTGAAAACAGTCATGCGGACCCCTGCTTACAAAAAGGTTCCCATTTTTCCTACCCAGGAGTTCGACTGCAAGGACCTCAAACTGCCTGAGTGACACGGCCCACTCCAGCAGATGACTGTAGAGGCCTCACAGCTTCAAAAACCTTGCATGACTTCTTCTCTCCCAAAGACTCAACAGCAAGCAACGAGCACGAAACACACCTGCTCCTCAGCATGCCACCTCCCAGCAGTGACTCAGAGGCTCCAAGCATCTCCCTGAAACAAAAAAAATAAGGTCAAACTGCCATTACAGTGTAAAAAGATGCAAAGGAACCCTCGGCGACATTCACACAAGATCCCCCTAAAACAAGCAAACGTGTACCCTCAGAGCAAATCTGCTCTCAGCCTGCTCCCCCCTACTCCCCAGCAGGGATCATCTAACGAGAACTCAGCTCACCCTCGACCAAAGGAAACCAAACTTGCGAAAACCTAGCGCGACTCAAGCAACGGACTAACAAGCTTTCCAGACTATAGCCGAGCATGAACCCAACTAAATAACCCAAAACAACCATGTGACTCTGTGGACTCAAACCGTCCCGGTTTCCTCGCACTTCAGCCGGCCTCTCCTAGAAAAGACTCAAGGACTCACGAGCGAACCCACCTCAACTAACAGACAACGTATGTACCCCAAGCGCAGAAGGAACTCCCTCAGGAGGCCACAGGGCTATAGCCCCAAAATTTTAGCATTAGGTTCCAAACATCAACCTCCCCCAGAACACAAACTTCACGCATAGGAGAACGATCACCAAAAAAACACTATGCCAACTAACTCAAGACAAGAAAACTGAACAACAAAACACCAGCTCTCCCTCGGCTCCACCAACTCGCCAAAGCAGTGAAGACTTCTCAAAAAAATCAGCAAAAAGCTGACAAAACAGCTCGAATCACTAAAATGATAAAACAATGTCTAACCTCAGTAAAACATCACTCAGAATTGATTACCAAAAGACATTACCATGAGAAAAACTTTACCCAGGTCCTAGCAAAGGGTGGACCCCAGACAAAGACACAGCCTCAGTCCTAGGAAAAAACGGTAAACACGCAAAGTAGGGGATGTGGGAAGACAACGAGCCGCCAGAGTAAGAAATCGGTAAGCAGTCTTCCTCCGGCATACTTCTGAAATAACCGACAATAGGTTAGTGCACAAAAACATTTGCTACAGCACATGGCCCGGGCTAAAACAAACCAAAATGTAAGAAGATCTCAAAGCTCAAGGGTCAGCTTTCACCATGTGTATGTTATAAGATAAAACCTCCCACTCCAAGAAGTTTTCTGACTCAGAAGGCTTCAGCTCCCCCCTGCCTACCCCCTCCCCAGCAGTGACTTCACACAACGGCTCAGCTTTCCCTGCAAAGCCCCCTCCGCGCGAGCAGTGACCCACAGAGGCTCAGCTCCCCCTGCTCCCCCTCCCAGCATGTGACTCAGAGGCTCAGCTCCCCCTGCTCCCAACATCCCAGCAGTGAACTCAGAGGCTCAGCTCCCCTGCTCCCCCTCCCAGCAGTGAACTCAGAGGCTCAGCTCTCCCCTGCTCCCCCTCCAAGCAGTGACTCAGAGGCTCAGCTCTCCCTGCTCCCCCTCCAAGCAGTGACTCAGAGGCTCATCTCCCTGCTCCCTGATCAGAGGCTCTCCCATCCCAGCAGTGACTCTCAGCTAGCAGCTCCCTTTGTTACACTTCCATGGTAATCTGTAAGGTAAGCAGGGGGTAGGTGCTCTGGGGGAGGGGTGCAGGGGAAGCTGAGCTGAGAAGAATCTGAAGGATAATGGAGCTTCTGCTGTGAATATGAGGATGAATTCACCCACAGTGCCTGCAGCTACAGAGATCAGGGAGGGTTTGTTTCCATGTTTATGTAACCCCCGGTTCTCATTTGGTGCATCTTTGAAATCCCGATATTTCATCACGATTTTAAAGCTGCAGATCAGTGCGATGTTCGCGCGGCCTGAATTCATTGCGGCTTCATGTAACACAAATCACTACAAATCGCAATGAAATCGGCAAAAAGTAGAACCTTCCCCATAATCCCTCCGACAGGAGATACGGCGGTTTGAACGGCGCCAGCAATGGGGGGGGCGACTTGTCATGTGATTTGGAACTGTCAAAAGTTGCACCGGGGGGGGGGGGGGGACCAGGACTTTATATTTGTTAATCTGTAAGGAATCCTGATATTGCCAAAACCTGAACTTCTCACAAAAAAATTGTGTTCATTTTAGATATACAGCGCCTTGAGAAAGTCTTCACACCCTGAAATGCCCCCCCCCCCGACATGCCCCCCATGTTGCATGTTACAATGTATTTTAGTGAGATTGGATGTTACATAATTAACATAGTTAGTCTGGCTGAAAAAAGACAAAAGTCCATCCAGATTCAACCATAGAAAACAAACAAAATTATAATCCTACACCCACAGTGGATCCAGAGGAAGGCAGAAACCCAGCAAAGTGCGATCCGATCTCCTCCTGCTGGGGAAAAATTCCTTCCTGACCCCCGAGAGGCAATCGGATATTCCCGGGATCACCTTTCCATATTTTATATCCCCCTTATGTATTATACATGGAGATCATATCCCCCCTTATGTATATACATGGAGATCAT